TCTGCCAACATAGAGGTAAACAAACAGGAATTTGCGAGCATAATCTGTTTTTAAACTTGCATTTCTGTAACTTCTGGAATGTCTGGCTTTTGTTCAACAGCTACTCCTGAAAGCTAGACTATTGGAAGAATCTGTGTTTTTTAAATATAAGAATAAAAGCAGTACTTTTAAAAATGGGACAACCTTCAGCATAGGTTTGACTAGCTCCCACTGTCTCTGTTCGTTGCTTTGTTATGCAAGGATAATTTAAGCTGATTTATTGCCACTTGAGTTTGAACAGATTGCTTTTTTAAACCAGCTTAATTTCTTATGAAGAAAGTAAAATACTTAAGAATGTTCTTTAAACAAAATAGCAGAAAGTAATTATTCAGAATAAAAATATATGACAGGAGTGAGAAACACTCCTGAGTGTAAGAGGTGTAAACTGATCGGAACTAGTTTTTCTTCCTCTCAGAGGGGAGGAATACTTCATGTATTAGGTTTACCTACAGGCTTCTGCCAGCTTAAGTCCTGGGAGTTGCAATACTAGCTGTCTTTCTATCCTTGATCTGGGGGATTTTGTACCATCTCATTCTCCAAATTGCAAAATAGGTGGAGTTTTTTCAATTGCTACTTAGAGTAATCAAGAGAAGAAGTTGAAATGAAAGCTAACTGGGGAAAAATGCAAACTTTGGCATGAGCAGCAACAGTATTTATTCTTGAGTCAGTTGGCTTGCATGGACTCCAGTGCAAAATAATTCAGGTAAGTATTGTATAAAATATTCACAAGAAATGGGGTAGCTTTGTGTTTTTTTTGAATACCAGTGTTTGAGAGCATTTTAAAGACCAGTTTTGGCAAGAGATTTAGGTAATAGAAACCAAGCAATAAGCATCTGTAATCTGAACAAGTTTGGGTTTTCTCCTTTCTTTTTTCCGTTTTTTTGTGGTGTTTTTTTTCCCTAAACTAGCTGTCTCATCTTCATATTATGCATTATCTGACAGAACAGTGAATGGGAGGATGCTTCAGTGAAACTGAGTTGCAGTTACCTGAGATAAAAAGCTTAGATGATCAGTACTCTGTATTTGTGAGTACTTGGGTTATCACTTGTAACAGCTTAAGGATAAAAGTAGACTGAAATATTTGAGGCATCATGTTGCATTTATAGCTTTTCACTTTTTATTGCATGCAAGCTGATGAATGCATTTTGATTTCTGTGTTGGGTCAGGAGCATAGGTTAAGTAGCCTCATGGAGAACCACTGTTCTTCAAACTGAACCATAATCCATTTGTCTTAAATGTAGAGTGTTACGTTGTTCAGTTTTGTGGAATTTCTCTATTGGACTGTTTGGCTTTGTCCTCTCATATGCCTGTTTTACCAAGCTGAAATACTCTGATGTGGAGCTGTACCATAATCGAGTTGTCATTTTCTTAAATAAATAAAAGTTTAAAAAAAAATCAGTTCTTGCAATCATGTCCTAGTTTACAGTTCAGTTCTTAAATATCTCTTCTGTAGTTCATTAAGATTTTACATACTGTCACCTCTGAATTTGCTGTGCGTTGGCTCTGGTGTGTTTCATCTTGCTCAGTTGTTGGTAGGTTGCAGCAGGACAGGAACTTGTAAAAAATATTTAGTTATTTTCTTCTTGGTGGGTATGTCACTGTATAACCCAAGAAATATTCATCTTCTGCCTTGCTTCTGTGTCTGTGCTCTATAATCCATAGTTTATAGAGCAATTATAAATTTCTTGAGTTTGAGGTAGCAACTTTTTCTTAAAGTGGAAAACTTAATTAAAAACTGGAATTGATGATTGGACTATTTTGGCTAGTTGACCTTGCAGCATGTTTCCCATGTAGATGTTTAAGCCTGTGTATTGTCAGAACAGGGTCTTTTCTTAAGAATTCTCAAAAATTTTTCTCATGACTGTTTGAGTTTCGGTATCAGTGTCATGGTGGGAAAGTTGTGAAAGTCACTGTTCCCCAGGTTGGGAGGCAATGAAAGCTCTGCTCTGCTTTTCAGTAGCAGTGACTGAACTCCATTTAAGTTGTTCTAGAGCTGCTTTTGCTCTTAGTCTCTCTGCTTACATTAATAAACCTCTTTAATTTGCAGGGAGCTGATAACAAGTGGTCAGATATACTTTTTTCTTTACCCCACCCTGTTTAGAGGAACTGTATGAGGTGTTGCTGGCCTGTCTATGAGCAGAGCACCTGCCTGCCTGGCTGTTAAAATCCACAGCTACCTCAAAACCTGAAGTAATCTTGCAAATTGACGAAGAGCTAAGTCAGACAGTTAAGTTTAGGTATGAGAGATGGTGAAGTCTAAGGAATAAGTATTGTGCAACTCCTGGTTCAAGGTGGGGAATACATAGTTAACTCATCTGGTTTTTGCACCAGCCTTATGAACCATTTCATCACAGGATAGGAGACACCACTATTTTACTCAGATTTCTTCCTGCTTTTACTCTGTAGGGTATTGTTTCACACCTTCAAATCTCCTATCAAGATAGGACTCGTCTATCTTGAAATGAAGAAACTCTTTGCTCCCTTTCTACTCTTCCTGTCCTAAATCTTGGTGTTTTTACAGGTGCCTTTGTCTTACATTGAATATGGCAAGGTGTGTGCAGGAGACTTTGAAAAGTTTTCTTCTAATCACTCATCAGACAGCTCTTTGAAAGAGGAGGTGGTTAATATTAGTTGCTTGAACTGCCAAGGGAATTTTGGAGGGGAGGGTTTAACAACAGAAATACAGCTCCTCAGAATTGTATGCTTTGCACACTTCACGAGGTAACACATGTGACTAATCCTTTCCACTGTAAACTCTGTGACTCAATTTATGTAAACAGTTTTGTTTCATACCCTAAAATAGCCATCCTCTTATTCTGACTTCCCTGTAAATTCTACTACTGTAAATTGGACACTATGCCTAGGCGTGTCTGCACATTTAGGGGCACAGTAGCTGAATGTAGATTTTTGGACATAGCAGTAGAAAGGAGGTTTTCATTCCCTTCTTATATTCCCTGGAATGAGTCAGGTTTTGTGTTCTGACATGTGATATGTAAGAGTTGAAATAGCAAGAAGTAGTTTCCTTACAGTTATTTATAGAAACATGAGTTATAATGACTGATATATCCAAAGTCAGTGCCTTGTTTCCAAGAGTTGTTGGACTGAAATACCTTTGGTGTTTCTACCTCTACAGCGCCTCTAGATTCAAAATTAGTTTCGTAGTCTATGCTTAGCTAGAACAAGCAGTGGTTACCCCATCACCAAAGACTGTGTAAGAGCTAGCCAAAGAAGACTGTCACAGAGTTTTCTGTTGCTGTCTTGGTTAGTACAACATGGGGCTTTACTGAGACCACTTACTAACAGGATGCTGCATAAGGAACTGAGGCACTGTAGAAACTAAATCAGGAGCAGAGAATAATTTGGACGTTATCCAGGGCTCCCGGCCAATGATTCTGTCTTAGAGGAGAGCAGGGATGGTGCCTAATGCTACGTTGGTGAACTTGAAGACATGATTATTACCCTATGAGGATATGGAAGCAGGGTCTGATACCTGCGTATGATAGTGAGTCTAGTTTGCTCACTGAGGCTTAAAGAGGTCAAGGAGCTTTTGTAGATCTTAAGCATAGCGACAACTTTGGTCACCAAAAAGGCCAGTTCTAGCTTGGTGGATTATCATTCAGTGCAGAGTATTTGATACTTAAATTGCTGATTGAAATGGTGGAGCAGGTAGACTGGTGTAGCTGAAACATCATAGTCTGCCTCCCTTGTAGACTTCTCCTTTTGTGCAAGTCAAATGTGGGGAGACGGACCGCAGCTGGCAAACTGCGATCATCTGCACCTGACTTACCACTAAAAACATAGTGAACATGTTAATGTACTGGGTTTTCCTCTCATCTAACTCTTTTTAGGGACTTTGCACTGTAGCATGGAAATTCTTCACAGCATGAAGTTTTGAGTGCAGCTATGGCTGTGGTGATATAGCAGTTTCCTCTGTGATGAAGAAGAAGCTGCAAACACAGCTCCCTGTATTTGATGCTGTCTTCTCAATAAGCCTGTAGTTGTGTGTCACTCTGTTGGCATTGCATGGAAGGATTTGTGGCAGATAATCAGTGTACCCATTGCTATACAAGATCTGTGCACCTACTTTACAAATTTGCATTTACAAATGCAAAATGCTGAAATATTTCTGAAAGTGGCTCAAGTACTTACGGAAGCTAAATGTCCTTTCCTCTGGCAGTAGTCAGTAGAGAGGTGTGCTTGGTGTCCTCCTAAAATGACCTCCCAGCAAAGCCTCCCTGTATCCTCTCCTTGCCTCTTTCAGCAACATAAGTTACTATTAAAACCACTGTGTAAACATTTCTACATGGCAACTGGGGAGGAGATCAGCTCCTTTCAGGTCATTGTGGTAGGAACTGAGCCTGCCCTCTGTTTGCAAAGGCTCTGTTCCTTGAGCTGGAGATGCTGATGAAACATGAGGGCATTTGGCCCTCTTTATGCAAGTGAAGTGTCCACTTCTTGAAGCATAGGAAGGAGGTTGCATGATAAGGCCATAACATTGTCTCCAATGAAATATTCACCTGTGAGCTCACCGTGCCATTTAAAATTGCACTAAATGGAGAGTTGTGCTCTGCTAAAGCAACATCTGTGTTTTTAGGGGTATTGCCTCAAATTGCCCCTGTATAGCAAAGGAAAACCCATTCATGTCAATTTTAGAGGCTAAATATTACTGTGTTTTTAATCTTAGCTGTCCAGAAAGTTTAGCTTTTATTCTGAGCTTCCAGCTGAGCACTGTATGAATGCAGTGAATTCTTCCTGGTGGTAGTGCAAACTTAACAGCACTGTGTTACAAGAAAACAATAGGGCACTTCTGTGTTCAAGGTGAAGCTTACACACAGCACGCTTCCCAGCAAATGCTCCTGCAGGTTTGGTTGTATATTAGGCAGAATTAATAAAGATTTATTTATTTTTTCCTCCAAAGATGACTGACTTTGAATACCCCATCTGCTTTTTCTTTCCTTCAGTGATGGGGAGGGAAAGAAAAGAACATCAAACATCTGCAGCAGTGAATCTCTAAATGCTGTGGGGGCCACGCTTACACCTCGCCGCATCTCCTGGCGGCGGAGAATATTCCTGCAGGTAGCTTCACCTATGAATAAATCTCCTTCCAAGATGCAGCATCCAGGTCTGTGTGTGCTTTTAAAGAAAATAAACAAGCAGTTATTACTGAATAGTTATTACTATAGTGAACTGCAACATGTGAAAATATGAAAGGGAGAAGGGCGTCAACTTGATACAATACTCTTGCTAGAACCTCGCTAGAGATCAGTTGTGCTCAATTGGCTTTAAGTCTTTGTTGCTTTGAACAGAGGATTTTGTCATCAAAATCAAATTGATTGAAATCTGCCATGGATGCACTGGTAGCAAGGAAATTAAGAACTACCTCTTGCTGACGATGATATCCTCTGTAACCGCAAATTTTTACTCTAGCCTGCTTACATGATAGCAGTGATGGCAGAAAAAAGTAAATTTTCTGCCTTGTCCTTGTACTGCACATAGCACCTGTTGAGTGTGCTAATAATTCTTACAGCTTTAGGTCCTTTAAGTTAGAAATATCTGAAATATCTGAAATCCTGCTGTTGATAAAGTCCCGTTAGCAGAATTCACAATGATAGGTAAATGACAAACTTAATATTTAGTGACCAGAAAGTGCTATAGCACAGCCTATAGTGCAGCTTAGAAGATGAAAAAAGTTGCTTTTAGTGTAGAGCCTGTGGTAAATTACAGCAGTAAACAAGCTCAGCTGTAAAGGAGACTTTATGAATAAATGCCTCTTTGTAATTCTAGAAGGAGCTAGCAGGGGAAGGAGTTGAAATACTGGGTGACCCTTTATTTAACTTAAATAAAACACTTTATTTAAAAACAATTTAAATTTAAACATGAAAAACACTGTTGTTGAACTGTATTTTCTCTGTCTTTGGAATTGGCACCTCACTGCTGAATGTGGAGAACAGCTATTTTTGTTCTGCAATGACTTAGATTTTTGTGATGTCAAAAAATCTGAGTTTTCTGTAATAGCTTTCTGATTCTTTGCAGATGGTCATGATGGAGGTGAATTGTTACCTTTATCCCCTCTTGCTCCACCCCTGGAGGAGGACCCTCTTGTTCTAGTATTGCAAAATGAAGATGGTCTGGATAAAACTGAAGAGAGGAAAAACTCAGAAGAACTACAAAGTCTGTGGAGAAAAGCCATCCATCAACAAATTCTGTTACTTCGAATGGAAAAAGAAAACCAGAAGCTAGAAGGTTAGTTCTTTAGAAAATACCCCTAAAAACTATTACAAATTCTGCTGCCTGGAGCTGAAAACTGTACTGGTGTTGGGCACCTCAGAGAGAGATGTGGTTCTGTAACATTTTAGTTAACAGTGCTAGAAAAAATGTGTTGGTCCAGTTTGTCTCAGAGTCTACCAGGTACTCTGTCTACCTGCCAACTCTTAATGAGTCACCTTAGTTAAAGAAGAAAGTGATGATATTTCCTTTTTTAGTGCATGTTAGACAGAGTTTGCTACAGTCTGTGTTCTAGCTGACTATGTCTAGGAATTCTAATGTGGAGTCTGGAGAACAGATGCCATGTGAACCCTTAGGTATGGTAAACCTTACCCTCTGTATCTCGTTTCAGTACTTTGCAGCACATGGCATTTCTGTCAAGGCTTTCTGCCCTTCCTTAACCACATCACAGTGGTAACTGATAAATATTTGAATCCAAATATGATTTTTGAGCAGCTGGTTCATGAGGTATGTCAGAAAGTTCATTTTTCAGAAGATGAGCCCTGTACACTGAAAATTGAGTGCTTTACTGAGGGATCTGAAGTTGGCCGTGTTGACTTGTTAGCTGCCTGAGCTTCTGGCTGAGATATTTCATTATGACTGGTCAAGGCTCACACCAATAAAAACCAGGATGAAATGTCTATCCTAGCATAGAGAAGTTCTTTAGTATAATAGACTTAATAGCTTTTGGTGCAAGTCAGAAATTTCAAATGTACTTTCTGCAATTGCTGCCCTCATCCTCTCCTGTATGGTGTATAACCTCATTATATGGTAGTCTGATTCTTCAAACAAAACATAATGATCTTCTTAAGGTCAGTTAACTCTTTTTCCTTCTTTAGTGGTGCTTAACTGAGAAGGCAGGGAGAGGAAAGAAAAACAGCAGGACAGAAGCCTTTCCATGTCCCTACAAGCGTACATCCTTGAATGTAATTCCTACACATGTAGCATATTTCTCTGTGCACTCTCTCTACAGTTTGTCTCCCTGTTGACACACACTTCTGTGGAAACTCCTAGATTCATAGGGAACATCTACAGAGAAGTCTGTTTTAACTTCAGCCCAAATCTTCGTTTATTGTTTTAGCAAACGGTTAGTCTGCTCTTGTGGGGTGGGGAAGCTGGACATCTGCTGTAGTGACTACTTTCATGTTACTCAGACTAGGTAGGATGAGCTGCTGAGGGACAAACTCTTTTCAGTACCTTCCCTGTATGGCTGGAGGTACTGATAACCGTTAAATCAGTCCAGTTCCTTAAGACTCAGTTAAACGTTATTTCTGCTCTGCAACAGATATGTAGAAAATAAGTTCTGTCTGGTCATTTGTGGTGAAAACAGGAGTGTAAACAGTGGAGACTCCAGTCTGGCACTCATCTGCCAGCCCACATTTTGCTTTGTGCTCTAGGGAACATGTATTTTTGTATGCAAGTTCATAAATACTGCTAGTGAAACTAGTGCTCTAGCTAGCTGGAATTCATCATATTATTTTCAAACGTGAAAAGTAAACTGTCTTAATGCCTGTCTCTAGGCTTCCTTCCTGTGGGATGCTCTAATATGGGCTATTTTATGGACAGGACATATGCAGAACTGATGCATTCCAAAGAAGCACTGTTTTGAGCAGTGGTTAACATTCTAGTCTACAATTAAATGTAGATCTTAGGAATGGGAAATGTAACACCAGAAATGCAGCCATTTCTCTGCTTGAAGTCAGGTCCCTACCTGTGAATTTATTCAGCTGTATGTAACTGGTTTAAGACTGGAATTGATGTGGAATTTTTTTCAGTGGTTTTCTGTTAATGTTTTGTTCATGTTTATTTACAAAATATTAATAGAACCTCTTTTCCTGTTCCTTTTGCTGTCGAGGAGACTTGAATACTATTAGCTCTTTGTTTTACAGAAGGTAAGTTCTGTGAATTGCACCAACTTGCTTTTTTTTTTTTTTTTTTCCTGAGCAGCTAAAAGCTCCTTTTTCCAGTAGATAAAATATAAGAAAACCCAAAAATATAAGAACTACGAAAAGCAGCAGGCCACCTGGCAGTGATCAGGAAGAACGTTAACAAGGATGGCTGCAAGTAACCAAGGGTGTGACAGCAGATAGGGCAAGTACAACCAACAGGCAAGCTTGCTGACTTTCACTAGGGTTAACTGCAGAGCCAAAGGACCGTTCAGTGAATGATAACCTGTGCACTTAATCCTGGAGTTCGCTGTTACACTGAAACATGTTACTGTTTTGAATCTGTCGAATACTGCTTATGAGAGTGAACATTCTCAGATGAAATCATACATCAATTGAGTAGCATTTAAAATTGTCCCAACTGGACTGCAGATTCTTTTGGTGAGATCACATTCCCATTTTTATGGAAGTGTACCTTCCATAATAGTTCCTTCTGCAAGGCTCCTTCTAGTTTTGAATAGATGTGGTCTCAGATGTGTAACATACAGCTTCTGGAAATAATCTGTCATCTACATTTTTGGAGTGGGCTAGGCAATGATCCTATGGATTCATCAAATATTGGTTGTATCCAAAGTGGGATGATTAGGTGAAGGAACCGATGATCTTGTTTTGCAGGTTGTATAAAAACATGAATGAGATTTTGCTTTCACCTAGGGATGATGGTGGGGAATGGGTTACATCTGTAAGATGAAGGAGCCAAGTACTGCACATGGATCAAGGCAAATCTGGGATAAATTCAACTGTATCTTTGAGAGTTTGTGTTGTGAAATGTGCAATTTGGCCCAATGGTAATTAAACCTAGCTCTGTAAATTAAGACACATTCGGGTCTTGATTCCAGTTTTTTACACCAGTAGTATGAGGAATTTGACTGTTTTGCTGCATGCATATCATGTATAATAAAATAACTACAGTTAATTTCTCAGTAATGGAAATGAAAGCTGCTCCTCTATGAAATTCCAGAGTCACAGTGCAGCTTTATTTCAGAAATAGTGAGTCCTCAGGAATAGATAGTTTGTGCCAGTTAGTGCTATGCAGGAAACCCATTAAGTTTACAGCAATGTGAGTTCTGTGCTTCAGCACAGGTGTACTTTTCTGGATAAGGTTCATGTTGGTTCATTCTATTTACTTCTAGTCAGCTTGATAATGCCAGGTAGCAGTGCCAAGAGCTCTTGTCACTATTTTAAGGGACATGTAAAAACTGGAACCAGTGTGACAGACTTCAGTTTAGAAGACTTGCCTAACTTGCTTGCCTAAATCTCTGATATGAACATTCATATGTTTGGGACTTTCCATACCAAAACAATTGTAAGAGTATAAGTATACAAGAAAGTATAAGAGAAAGAAAAACTACCAAAGGTGTTTTTGCAGTTGAAAGAAGCAGCACATGGGGTAAAGCTGATGCTGCTGAGTGGGTTTTTCCTTCTTGCCCCAAGCCTTAAAAAATGTTTTCATGTACTTCATGAATTACTAATGTTCATGGCCCAGTAATAGAAGTTGAATCATTACCTGCAGCATCTTATGACAAAAGACTGGCCCCATCTCGGCTATTAACTGATAAATTATAGAAGGTGTATTTATCCCTAGTCAGATTGTCAGATAGACATACCTAACTTGAATAGGTTTTGTGTATTTGATGTTTCTTGTAACTTTCTGGTTTTCCGTGTGCTCTTTCTTTGTGTTCTGTGCTCTAGCAAGCAGGGATGAACTCCAGTCAAGGAAAGTAAAACTGGACTATGATGAAGTTGGTACATGTCAGAAAGATGTCATAAATGTTTGGGATAAGAAGTTACTAAACTGCAGAGCCAAAATCCGATGTGACATGGAAGATATTCATTCCACTTTGAAAGAAGGTATTTATGTAGGATGGCTTTTAGCTATGAAAAGTTTGGGGTTTTTTTTCTTCCCTTTTAATACTGAAGGAAAACTGACAGCAATACACTCTTTCTAACTTGTAGTCTTGTTACAATAATTACTTTCCTGGAAAGTATTAGCAGAGTTGACAATTTATTTTGACTTCTAAAGGTCAGTTTACAGAGTTAGATATTGAAGGGGGATGTATGTGAAAGTCCTAAAGTAGTATTTTAATTTAGTTTATGCTTTCACAGGTGCTTTCAGTATTTCAGTATGAGTGATTCTGTGTCCTTCCTTTGGTATGCAGCATTAATGCTTTTAGGTTTGAACTGAGCATTTTATAACCTGTGCATCTTTCTCCAAGCCTATGGACTGACTTGAGAGCAGCCCTTTGGGAAGGGGAAGAGGAGGTGGACTTCCCTGTATTTTATCCCTGTGAATTTAGTTCAGCCTTTCTAAACAGGCTGAACTGCATTCTGTTTGTGGCCATGCATCTTTTGCTGCTGGAGGCTAACAGCTCAGAAGTGTCAAAACAAGTGATGTCTGTACCTCAGTTGTCCAATATACTGCTCAGTGTAATTACCATAAGTTTGTAGTTAATGTTTAGTTAGTGGAACTGAACTGTGGTTACTGAGTGAATGTACTGAAATGTGGACAGCTTCTGAAGCTGACTGTGTGTAAAGGATCCTCCAGAGTGGTTCAACCAAGATTATGACAGGGCAAGATGATGACAAAGCAAATTCTTGTGTTACAGCACTAAAAATAAGCCCCTGCTTAGGCCTCTTGTTTTTTTGACTGACCTGCAGGTGTACCAAAAAGTCGCCGGGGAGAAATTTGGCAGTTTTTGGCTGTTCAACATCGAGTAAGACATAGACTGCCAAACAAGCAGCAGCCTCCTGATGTCTCTTACAAAGAACTTCTGAAACAACTGACTGCTCAACAGCACGCCATCCTTGTAGATCTAGGTATGTCTGTTTGTAGCTGGGAGATTTTTCTAACTTGTTTCATCAGTCTTTGTGAAAACACACCGGTCTTAATGGAAACTGTTACTGGAGATAGTTGCTTCTGTATCAGCACCATTTTCTATATCATCAGGATACATTTTGTGTATGCCTCTTAGTCTTGCAGGCACATGATTTCTCAGGTTATGCTGCTTGTATTTATGCTCTTCTACATCTGTCTGAAAAGATAAATCGGTCAGTCACTTCTGCAGGTTCTATGCAGATGAGAATATTAAATGAGCTCAATGTCTAAAATCAGTGGAAAAATAAAGATTGTTCTGACTAAAGTCAACCTGCATATGAAAGCAAAGAAAAATGGTCTATGGGGAGAGAGAAGTGCTGGTTGTCAGATTTGGGGATTTTTTGAGAAGAATTTAATATTAACTACTTTTCTCTCTGTACGTCAGGACGGACATTCCCTACGCATCCTTACTTTTCTACCCACCTGGGAGCAGGACAGCTATCACTCTTTAATCTCCTGAAAGCATACTCTTTGCTGGACAAAGAAGTGGGTTATTGTCAAGGTATAAGCTTTGTAGCTGGAGTGCTGCTTCTACATATGAGTGAAGAACAGGCCTTTGAAATGCTGAAATTCCTCATGTATGACCTTGGCTTCCGTAAACAGTACAGGCCAGACATGATGTCACTACAGGTAAGTCAGTCCTTTTAAAGCAAACCAGAATTTTAAATGAGTCTCAGAGGTTGCTGATGTTTTACAGGGCCTTATGAGCCTTTTTATACTGTTCTGGAGGTTGTGAGGTGCATATAAATGTTATTGTCGAACCTCTCTCTGCCTCTCAATTTGTAAACAGAGAAGTTCAGAACTTGCAGACTTTTCCTGTCACACGTCCCCATCATCTCCTGTTGGGAAACTGCGCTTTCTCTGCTGTTTTGCTCTTCCTTTTCTTTGCCTCACTTCTCTCTCTTCCTTATGCTGATGTGCTTGCATATGTATAGATGGAGTTTAAAAATAAATTGGATTTTCTTTTTCTTCAGTCTGTGAGCACTCGGATGTAGGTTTTTTTTCTTCTTGTAACTCCGAGTCAAATCAATAGTGACACCCAGTGGCCAGTCAATGTACTCCACAGCCATTTGTACTTCGGACTGCTCAGTCCTGCCTCATCATTTGCACCTCTTTTCCCTCATCTTCTTCTACCCCAACACCCTCGACACAGAGAGAAAGCAGATGACTTTTTTTATAATTTGTATGTTTATGAAACAATGTGTCCTCCGCAATATTAGTCATCTAACAGCTAGCTATAGATACTCAAGCCTGCTTAGGAAGGAGACAGAAGATCTTTCAGACCTGTATAAACTTCAGGGTTTAAAGTTTGAGAAGTCTTTCACCTTGAGATGCATTGACTTTATTTAAAAGTCCACTGACTTTAATTAAAGCCTCTAATGTTATAAAAGAACATACCACTGCTGAGTTAAAGCTTGTAATTCACAGTGGAGAAGGAGAAAATTAAGAGGCAGATACAGAAGACTCATATTTTTTCATGCTCCCTGCATAGCAAACACTTCTAATTAAGTAGAAACTTAAGGGAGAATTTCAGTCCACTTTTCATGATCAGTTTATGTGCTTATTTGGTAATTATCCAGAACAATAGAATAGATTGTAGGTAAAGAAACTGTATGTGCTTATTCTAAAAATGATAGAGTGTTTTATTGTGGATGTAAGTATGCTATAACAAGTTTGTTGTGATGAATTAAGGGTGAAGAGCCATAAAGAGCATTGTTCTGCCTCTTTCCTGTCCCATTCCCTGCCCCCTTAACCCCCCAATATGTTTTGACCCAGTGGGGTTAAAGTGTGATAAATGTGTGATTGTGTGATTTTTTTGTTGTTGTTGTTTATTTCCCCTAGAAACAGTCCAGGATTTCACTTTTTGATTTAAATGAGTCTGAAACTTTCATTGTCAGAAGCTCTTAGGGGGAACAATTTTTAAGTTCGAGAAGGTTTACTGCTAGTAGTACTGTTTGCCCTTTAAATGAAATGACCTCTCTTTCCCCACAGTTTGTTATTAGGCAGCTATTCCATTCTAGACAAAAGTACAAGTTTTGTCTGTTCAAGATAAACTAGGCTATTGAAGATGACTTAGAGAATCTCACTAAAACCTAACCCTTTGTTTTGGTTTTTAACAGGAGTAGAGCACTTGCAAATTCTTCTGCATTTACAGTACTGAAACACAAGTAAGCTTATACACAGAATTAGCCTCTGTCCCGTAGAAGAAAAATGTTGGGTGTTTCTATAGGATAATGAAAACTTACTTGACTTATAATTGCTGTCTGGAAAAAATAGTAATCTAGATCCTTAGTTCATAATGAACTCATCCAGTTGGTTTACTCCCTCTGTGATGCTATTCTAATTTCACATGTAAATGTGTTTTGTATCAACACTTTCAAAACTGTGCTTAATTAGTATCATTGGCAATTCAAGCAGGGACTCAAATGCATGCACAAGTCTAGTTAATTTTTCTGAATGAGAAGTGATCTGTTTGCATATGGACAGCACTGACTGATCGTTTCAAGTGCAGTCAGTTTTTGGTAGGGAAAGAATCACAACCCCTAAAAGTAGGAAAGTAGCTGGATCCAATAAAGTCATTTTCTTATTGAGGAATGGATTCACCTTAAATACAAGGCACTGTTGATAGCAAAATTGGACCTGACAGCTAATCAATACATGTCTGCTTCTCATCTTCTGCTTTCTGAGAGAAGAAGCATCACTCTGGGCTGGGATCGATTTACTGTGGAATATAAGCTATCAAAATTATAAGGAAATAATTCGCCACAGAGTGATATTTTTAGCAGTGAATAGCAACTTTTAACCACTTTGATTTTCAACCTTTTACAGGTTGTATAGCAACACTTTTTGCATCAGTATCTTAAATTTCTCTGGACCACTGCCATGTGGGAGGTGTGCTGGGAAATATGTATGTGGTACATCTCTATTGACTCACCATATCTAATGTACTGTGTGGGTACAGAAAGCTGTCTAAGGTGATGATGGTAGCATATGAGTTTCAAATGCAGCAAAAATATGGCCAGGATTCAAAGGGTGAAATCCAAAATGTGTAAATTTAACCAGAAATAGTTCAACTCTATAATGGAGAGTTTTGACATCTTGGAAGAGGTACTTTTATTTTCATTGCTGCAAGACTGAAAGCTCTGGTTTGTTGATAAAGTTAGATCAATACAGTCTCTTCTTACCTTAGGCATGTGAATCTGAAATGATAATTATCAATCAGGTTCAAACTGTTCTTTGTTATTGACTATTGTGTTGGTTTTAATTCATTAGGCGTGGGTTGCTTATATGTGAGTAGATACCACTCAAGGCCCTAGGCAACAATGAAGCTTCATTTTACCGTGCCATCTGTACTGGAGTTAATTTCCCTCAAGTGAAATATGAATGCTTTTGAAAACTGAGTAAAGTTGAACTTTTCTTTGTCTACTTCCTTCCCCCCCAACCCCCTCATGCACTGTAGATTCAGATGTATCAACTCTCAAGGCTTCTTCATGATTATCACAGAGACCTGTATAATCATCTTGAAGAAAATGAAATCAGTCCCAGTCTTTATGCTGCACCGTGGTTTCTTACGCTGTTTGCATCTCAGTTTCCATTAGGATTTGTAGCCAGAGTATTTGGTAAGAAAGTTTATTCTATTGCAATAATAGAACAATTGTTGTCCATTGTGTTTTGAAACTCTCAGGGAGTAACTCTCTACATACTAGGGACATTTGGGGTGACTATTGTGGGTGGCAAGTAGCAATGCTCTTCATGGTGGGATGTCAGCTCCTTTTCAAACAAGCAAACTGAAATATATTCTTTGAAACATCAGACTTGAGTAATTAAGTGTGTCTGCTGTTACTAACCAAGAGACTTCTGAAGTGTGAACAGCAGAGAGTTGCAAATGTATTTTATGCATTAAGCGTTCAGTTTATGTCTATGGAAAAGTTAATCTTGTTGAACTTGAAAACTGAAAAAAGATAATGCATGTTTTCAAGATGGTGTTTCTAAATAACTGATTCTGCAGTGCTTTCTAATAAAAATTCAGAAAACTTGAACTTAAAGGCTGTTTCAGGTACTCATATTGAATGGTTTCCTAGTCTTAGTATGCCTTTTATTCCATTTAGATAGCTTTTTCATTATATGCTCCTCCTCAAATAATGTCTAGTACAGCGGCTTAAATATTGATTGTGCCTTGTAGTGTTTACAGTATCAGCATGTCAAGTACTTGGTTTTGTGTTCTTTTATTGTCAATAAGAACTGCCAGCTTAATGAAATCTCTAGTAATGCAGGATTTTTAATAAATTTATTTATGAATTTAAAACTCGGTGTGCTCAGGTATGCATCAAGTAGCTAGGAGCATATTTCATGTACTTCCCCTTAAATCAGAATTTTTTTTTTCATTTGATTTTTTATCTTTTCATATGGCACCTTTTGTCTTTTCTTTCCTTAAGAAATTCAACCTGACTTTTGTCTCATGTTTTATTACTGGAGTGTGTTAGGTTTTCAGTTTGTTTGCTGTGGTGGTTTGGGGGGAGGGGGGAAGAAAGGTTTGGTTAGTTGGTTTTGGGTTGTGGGTTGTTTTTTTTTTTTTTTTACTAGTGATTTTTCCATTACAGAGTTTTTTTCCTTTTACAGCAGACTTTTTTGACTGCTCTTTGGGTGAACAAATGATTGGTGTATCTGTTTTTCAGTGGTATTCACATGATTGGTACATGGTGTGTCTGTTTTTCTGTGGTATTCACGTGATTGGTACATCTTTTTCCCAGTGGGATTACTGAATTCTGGGACACTCAAACATTTCATGTTTTGTTTTCTTTTTGTTTTGTTTTTCAAGGCTCAAGTGTTCTCTTTTTTTTTGTCTTCAGTAGGCTTTGAATTTTGAAAACAATTTTTTTTAAGGGTGGGAAGGTCAGTGTTCATTTCTCTGTAAATGAGCTGAGCAAGGCATGTTCCCTTTTCAAAACTCAAGTCCCTATGTCGGTTTACTTCCTAATGCTTTGGATTCCTGCATCTTCAGTGTCTTACCGGCCATTGTCACATACCAGGAACAGATGGTTAAAGTGTACCCATCACAAATTATATAATCATATATATATATATATATATATATATATATAATTTTATATATATTTATGCTGCTTGAATGTGCATCAAAGACTTGAGAAGAGAGACTTTTAGGAACTGTGTATGAGTGAGATGGCTGCCTCACCAGTGTCCTGATGCTACTGTATGATACTGGAATAGGGCCAGGAATGCCCTCTCACTATCAGGATCAGAAGTTGAGTTTGTTCAGTTGTGTGGCCTTGCTCTTGGTGGTGTGACAGAGCCAACAGAACAGGAGACTTAATTTGAACTGCTCATGTGCTGTGTTCATCTCAGTAACTGCTAGTCCACTGCTGCTACCAAGACCAAGTTTCTAGTTACTGTGATCAAGTTTCCAGTTTCTGTGCAGTCTGTCTACTGACTTCTACAAAGCCCAGACTTTCCCCCTCACATGCACATAATTGTACCTCGAAGTAAAGGGTTTGGGTTTTAAATTATAGCCAATGTGATCGCTCTATGGATTTTGAAAATAATATGATTAGTTATAGAATCTACATGATTGGTTTTTAAGGACTAGCTTCTGTCTGTGAAAGCAGTAGAACATCATGACCTACTTTTCAATTGCTTTTCAGTCATAGATGCTCTTAAAAACAGCAGTTAACAGTCTGTAGTCTACAGTAGACAGTAATTGACATTCTTATTGCAGATAACAGTTGCAGACATAACCAGCATGCGATATTTTCTTTAATGCTCTCTCACATCTGTAAGATGAGAGAATATGCTTTAACATCATGTTGAAATAAGATTGCACTTCTGAACTGAGTAAATCAGCAGTGTGACTGATTACAAAATAAAATAGCAAATATGTATATTTATCCAATGACTTTAGCTCTCATTTTCAGGATATTTTAATGATTTTCTTTTTTAGACATTATTTTTCTTCAAGGAACAGAAGTAATTTTTAAAGTAGCACTGAGCCTGCTTAGCAGTCAAGAAACATCTGTAATGGGATGTGAGAGTTTTGAGAACATTGTTGATTTTCTTAAAACCACTATTCCAGATATGACTCAGCCTCAAATGGAAAAAATTATCACTCAGGTAAGGTGGTTTTTCTCTTTATGTTGTCCTCTCATTTACTTTATTTTAAATGAATCATTTAAATGCCTAAGGTATAAGTGAAAGTCTTCTTAGTATGTTCCTTTTGGTTTGAAATGCAAGAGTCATCGTCCCAGTAACTTGTATAGAAATAAGATATGAGCAAATTTCAATGGGTTTTGAACTGCAATTTTATTTATTTGCTACCTCAAGGTTTAGTACAAAGCTTCTCTTGTGTTCCAGTTATTGGGAAAACATGACTTTGCTTATAATTTTCACATCACCATCAGAAGGGTAAAAGTAGCCAGTTTTCAAAACCTAAACCCAGGTGTTGCTCCCTGCTTGTGGGTGAACAGTCCAACAGTTTGTGACAGGAAGCACAACTTGCCATGGTGGGATGAGGGCAACATCACAGCAACTTCCCCTCTTGATCCTTTTAATTCTGGCTGCACAGAGCTGTGTACCCCGGTAGGAACTTTTCTGACACTTCATCTTAAAATCCTACAAGTCTAGGAGGCTGCTGAGGCCCCATTTTCATGATCAGTATTAAAATCAAAGTCAATCAAACTTTTGTTGTTCTGTTGGGGCAGCTTCTGTCCTCCTGGGGATCACTTTTAGAGAGAGTGTAGTGTCCTCATGCAACTTCTGCTTCACCTCAATCCTGTCCTTGGAGGGATCACACTTGACAGGTACTTGGTGCCAGAGGTAAAAGCTCTTCAGGACTGATCCCTGCCTGCCGTATATGGGTAAGGGGAGGGAGGACTGGAGTAGTGTTACTTCATCAATATCATTGTAACTTCATGGCAGAATAGAAGAGAAACAAAGAATTACTAATGCTGATATAGTAAAAGCTTCTTGTGAAATCTGTCAGTGGCTGGGATTTTCATGTCTCTACATCATCTTCCTCTTCGTTGAAGCAGCAAATTGAAAATGAGCCTCAGTCTAATACCTTAACTGTGAACAGTTTTCCCCTTTCAGGAGGTAATAGAAGAGCTCTAGAAAACTATCTCCATGTGCAGGAGTGCAGTTAATACTGATGCATTCCTATGGCTTGGCTAATGCTTGAATGTTTCAAGTGCTTTCAGTTAAAAATTCATTTTTAGACAACATGTAAATCTTAATTTCCTCATTTCATTGGTTGTGATTGCCATGCTAAACCTGTGTCAGGCATGTTAGTGTCTGTCTTCACAACTCACTGATTCTGGCAATGGTAGAGATAGCAGTTCAATATTTTGGATACTATTAGAAATTAAATCTTTGTCCTGTGGTCTGCCTGGATTGTAGAGCAATTGTGATGTGGTGAGCACGGTAGAAGTGACTTTGTGCAAAGTCAAGTCTGGCTGAATGAAGAATGGGTTATGTTGCCTGAGTGGAGGTGGGTGTGGTTATACACAGGTCAGCTCAGCTCTGAGGGGAAGGTTGTCTGCTTGCCTGTGGTGTCATCTCATGCTGAGCAGCCTTCTGGATCTGCATTCATGTGTAGACTGGCTATATTGTATTGCTCATACCTAGGCTGGCTGCAGGTGGAGTCATTTGGCTGCCTCAGCGTTGTAATTCCCAGGACTGTCCTAGTATAGCAGATAATGAAAGAAAAATGTAGACATTATGCAGACTATATATATATACATCTATATATGTATACAGATGAGGAATTGACCGGTTAGCTACATAGGGGAAAATGGCACTTGGCCAGCTTGAACGCCATATTTAAAGTTTTACCTCATTTGAATTACCCGAAGAACGGTGAACATAATGCAGAACTTGTTTTGTTGGGGGATCTGTGTGTGTCTTCTGTTGGTGTAATGTTTGTGTTCTCTAGAACAAGGAACAGAATTAATGTCACTGTAGACATCCTTCCCTTCCTAGTCTGAACTATTTGCTAACTTTCAGAAGCTGAGAGACCGACTAGATGTATAAACAGATAAGTGTCATATGGTCCCTGTTAGATGTTCAGTTCCATAGTCTTCACAATGCTTTGTTACCAAAGCATTCCAGTAAGAAAATAGTCTATCTTCATGCAGAGACAGAGCACTTTTATAAAGTCTATAAAAGGGCACTTGGAGTCAAGTGTTCCAGTTTTGAGGGTGGAGATCTGGCAACTCCCAGATTATTCTTCCTCATTGTGTGATCCTGCTTCCATCACAAGGTGTTGAGACTTGAATTTAAAAATTTCTTATTGAACTTCTTAATATTTCTGAGGAAGAGATGATAAGACTTGGTCATATTATAAAATTCTTGGATTAAATAAGACTTTTCTGCTGATACATCTCATAGTAAGAGGTGGCATTTGGTAATTTTAGTAGCAATGACCCAATCTGTTTTGAAGTCTGTGATTTATTATGGCTACAATAAGAACTCTAGAGGCTAAAATGCTCTTACTTCCCCTTAAAATACTTTTTTGAGAGGAACAGGAAAAAAAATAAAGTTAATCAAGCAGAGTTGCCTCTTAGTCAAACATTCATGTGGAATAAGTGCTCTCAAGTGGAGCTGAAAATTGTTTTTTCTCTCATGGCAGGTGTTTGAGATGGATATTTCCAAACAGCTCCATGCCTATGAAGTAGAGTACCATGTTCTTCAGGATGAACTGCAGGAAAATGTGAATCCTTGTGATGAAGGTGAACCCCTGGAGAAGCTGGAGAGGGCAAACAGTCATCTGAAGAGACAAAACATGGATTTGTTGGAGAAGCTACAGGTAAATGACTTAAGACTAGAAACTCATGGAGAGGTCATCTCTATAATTCAGCCAATAGAGGAGTAAGCATCTTTTTTCAATGCACATGAGAAGTCTCCTAACTGCAAGACCTTATGCAGTTGAGCAGTTCTCTCCATTACAGTGATTTACTTCTGTTAGACATATTTCTAAGTCCTTTGTCATTCCTTGGACTTTTCCTTCTTGATGCAGATTTCTTTTTCTTAAACTCTATCTACCCTTATGTCCCATAAAGTCTGTTGGCAAAATATGTGTATCTTGCTGAAAAGTTAAGTTCTCTGTCCCTTTATATCTTTGCTTCCCGATTGGAAAGTTTTAAGAAATAATCCATAGTGCAGTAGGCTTGCTTTCTCCAGACCTTTGTAGGCAGTATCATTCTGTTTCTTTCTGCTGAAGCTCATAGTCCTACTTTTGAAAGGTGGTCTCTTCTAGCAAACTTGAATACAGCTCAGTGCCCACCAGTCTTTGCTCAATAAAATCATGCTTTAAAAGTCTTCTCTTCCTCCCTTATTATTCAGCCTTTCTTCCATAGCCTGGCCAAGACTTGTTTCAGGTTTCAATATGTATTGTCTTGCATTTTCCTGAAAGGCAAGCTCTTCTTTTTGCATCACCAGGTCATTTCTTGTTACATTTGTTACTTTGAACAAGTATTGGGAAGACATGAGAGCACACCTTCAGATTCTGAAACCTGAAAGTAGAAACTGGAAAAAAAGGAAAGATCAAGTCCTCATTACTTTAGTGTTTATGGGCTAAGGGTGCTGTGCTGTGTTCTTTTGATATTGAAAACAGGGATCACTTGCTGTTTTGACTATTTTTTGCCTTATCATTTAGTTAGTTAGTTACTGCTACCTAGTCTTTTACCTCTGTTCTGAAAAATGCACCAAGAGTATAGAATAATGATGAGTGACTGCTTTGAAAGGCTCTATTGTAGCTCTTCTGTTCTTACAGAGTGCCATATTGTAATACATCTTCCTCAATTGCTTCACCTGGTCATTTTTTTGTTTGTATAGCTTCTTCATTCCTCTGCTTGGGCCCTTTCCTAGAAATGGTCAGAATTCCTCCACTTTCCACATCAAGACATTTGCTACTGCTGTGGTCCAGGGTTTCTGATTACTAGTCAATGAGTTATTTTTTTCCCAGAGGAAGTTATAGGTCTTTTATTGTAGAAGAGGGAATACTGTCTGCTTCTAGGCTTAATTTTAAGGTTCTCTTTCCCTCTAACCTCTCCATCCTGCTAATTTACTCTATTACATAGGGTTTGCATTGCTCCTTCACTGTCAGACAAGTTGTCTCTTCCAGTGATACTCCAGCTGCTGATTTCTTTTTTCTCTCTGCAGCTCCAGTTCCTTGTTACCCTGAACTGTCCCGTGCTTGCTACAATTTGCATGTCTTCATCCCTTTGTAAAGCTTTCAGAAATCCTTCATATTGATCTGGTCACTATAAGGAGATTCTGTGTGTGAAACACAGTAGATGTTCCTTGTATCATCTGCCTACACAGATAGCTTTTAGAAACATGGGTGTAATTAAGTTCTTCCCTTAACATATAACATATCATAATATAAACAAGGTTATTCAGAAAGTCTCAATTTATTATAAAGATAATGTTACTGTTTACAGGTTGCTCATGCTAAAATTCAGAGTCTGGAATCCAGCCTGGAGACTATTTTGACTCGAGAGAACAAAATGAAGACTCTAATTCAGTCCCTGGAACAAGAGAAGATAACATATCAAAAGACTCTTGAGCAGATAATGAAATATTTGCCAGCAGAAGCGTTATCTGACTGTGAACTGCTCCTGAAAGAAGTAAACTACAATCCAAATAATAAAGTAAGGAGTAAGCCATAAACCAAGGTTTTATAGGCAGCATTTCTTCAAAAAAAGGGAAAGTAAAATGAGTATGCTGCTTTCAAAGGACTTAGCAATAGGCAACGATGTTATCCAAAAACTAGTGCTGGGACACTCATAGCTACAGATGGGCCTTCAAATGTCAGTATGCAAATTCAGGCTATTTTTTTTTTTTATGATTATGTAAATAAACCACAAGGGGGAAATAAAGGATTCTCACATATAATTATGATGAGTAGATGTATATTTAGAGCTGACCTAAAGGAAAAGAGAAAGTTCAGTAGTCAAAGCCAAGATAACAGTGATCTACAAATTCACTCTGGATGTGCTTGTCTTGTAGTGAAATGAGGATAGCGTGTCTTTTTATATATATATATATATATATATATATGTATATATATATATATATGTTGAATAATACTTGAAAAAAAAAAAGAATGTAATTTTCCCTCTAAAGAGCAGCATGTTTCACATCTGTGGAAAATCTGTGAACTCATGCGCGCCTCTTTTTTATTTCTACTGACATTGTGTGCACAGACCAATAACCAGAATAAGCATCATGACTTGGTTTGTACAGAAAGAGCTCTAGTGCCATCTACAGCCTGGGCTGTACTGGTCAGCAATGTAATTCCACATGCATGTTGGAAATGGAAACAAAAAGCATCATGTCATAGCTCCACCTTTGTAACCCAGAGCTAAGAAACAGATATCTCTACACACTCGCAGAACTTGTAGAGACAAGAGCTAACAGTGACTGCTACTTTCTTCCTGGCCTGTTTGCTTCCACCTGTCCTGGGGTTGGTCATGATGACAGGAGGAAAGAAGCAAGGCTGTGCGATGGTTTTTATTCTGATATTAATTTTGCACAGGAAACTTGCTGTTATAAGAATTAGGCATGTAAGAGGTGCTCTTTTAACCAAAGAAATACTGGAAGAAGCCTTGTCTTACCGTAATGGGAGCCAGAAAGCTGTTCTTAAATTTTATTTGAAGAGAAAATTGAGGCAGGTTGCAGGAAGTTGAGCATAAGTGCACAAGAAAGGACCAAGCAAGTTTCAAATATTGTGTACATTTCAGTTTTTACATACACAGTGGATATACATTTCAAAGGGGATTCTGAAGTACAGGTGCAGTTTTAATAATGCTTTCCAGGTTATTCCTGTTTTAATACTGCTTTGTAAATCAGTAAATCTTCTTCTTAAATCAGAAGTCATGAATTTGTGCGTTCTGAGCAGAAGGTGAGGTAAGCTCTGATCATTTCAAGGGAGAAAATATGTTTATAAAGGTATGAAAAGACGCATATAGTTTTTAAAATGTTTTTGAGTGGAATTTTTGAGAAGGCTTAGGCAAATGTATAATAGACACGTATTTTGGAGTGTGTGTCTGAACGGTTAATTGAGTGTTACAGTGGCTCATGTTATCTCTTACCATTTATACTGTATTTCAGGAAACACTTATTATTTTAGTAAGAAAAACAATCAAGCAAAGTGCCAAATCCAGCAGTGTCTTTATGCATAAGATTGTCCACTTTAGAAAGCAAGGACTGAATGTCACTGCTCTCTAAGTATTATGCTTTATGTTAACCTAAAAGTGAGGAACAACAATGCTGATTTGCTGTACACTGCTGTGGAACTTAGGGGCTTGGGGTCTCCTGGGTTGTTTTTTTGTTGTTTTTTTTACTTCCATGGTGTTTTATTTGATTAAGGATATTGATTTACTTAACAGTCTTTCTTTTTACAGTTGGGGTGAAAGGTCTTAACACCGTGTATAAAATTATGTGGAATCTAGATATTTTAAGAATATTGTATTGTATTAGGTGAGAAAATGCCGGGTGAAATGGCAGTTCTTTGCAGTTTTGTTCAGCGTAAGTTTTAGCTGATGTATACATAAAAAACCAATCCCAGGAACTGCAATAGCGTGTATTACAAAGAATCAAGGTTATTCGGATGTATCGGGGTTTTTTTAAGATGCACTGAATGTGCTTTATCCTCTGATTCACTTACAAGATTTTTCATGTAATGCCTGGAGAAATTCCAATAAATGTCATTGCTGCATTTCCCATGGCCTATGGCTGGTTTTATTTTTCTACACTTCAAGTACCAATCTCATTCTCAATAGTACTGTTTACGTGAAAGATGAAAAGGATCTGGTTTTAGTTTCTAGTTGTGGGCAAAACCACTACAGGATTGTAGAAGGGTAGATATAAGGACAGAAATTCTTATCCAGGAAAATAGTTTTGCATTGTTCTTAACTGAAGATTATGAAAAGGTATTTTTCTTCTGTAGCAGTTCATTTAGTACATATGCATGTTGAGAACAGTAATTTGAGGAGCTCTACGCTGTGCATCTAGCTTGGGAGGAGGACACCGTATTAACAAGTAGAAATAAACTACAGAAGTAAAACCACAATGAGGTAAATGCTTCATGACATTAGGAAATTTGTGATAGTGTTTGTGTTCCAAACATGTCTGCCTTGTAACTGGTACCTCTAGGGGTTCTAGTTTGAAGTCTGCACTTAAGCAGATATCCTCAAGACCATCTTCAGATGAATGACCAGCAAGGTGATCTAGAAATCTGTGAATGGTGTGTGTGTTTGTGTCCATCTGTTTTGTCTCTCTCTGTCATATAGGTAGCTTTACAACTGTTCTGTTCTGGTTGCAGCTGTGCCACTGTGAAGAGGGGAGTCTAAGGTGCAGTGGGCTGGAGACAGAGCTGCAAAGATACTTGCTTGGGAGAAGGGACAGTTCCTGGATTTGGACAAATTCCTCTTTTATTCCTATACCTTGTTTTTGTGTTTGGAAAATTTTTTCACAGTAAAGCCATTGTTTTGTCTGAGCTAAGCACAACAGTGCTCTCAGTTTTTGCAATCAACTTACAGAGAACTAACTCGGGAGGAAAAAGTATCTGCTGTTTTCAGGAGCTAACTTAGACTGGCTTCTGCTGGCAGAGGGCTTTTTTAAAAGTCTGGGGAGACATCCATCCTTTTAGCTAGCATACTACCTTATAAATGAAGAGTACTACTTGCCAGGAATACAGTTGAAATAGTTCAGTCTGGTAAGAAGGTCTAACGTAGGGAGCACTCTGGTATTTGCATCTTTTATGTATGGAAAACCTGACCAGAAAGTTTTGGTGTTTTGTTTAGGGTTTGGTTTTTTTCCCCTCTCCTAAAAAGGACATTATCTATTTCTCTCCTAAAAAGATGAATGTTTATTTAAGGTGCCTTTAAGTTGAATTTTGTTTACTTTTATCTAAAAAGGCATCAGATTTTGCTGAAAAAAGATTAGTCTCCTGATAAATGTCATGAAGACCTGACTTGAAATCACAAATCTAGCTAATCTTAAATGGTTTGATTATGCCCTCTTCAACATGATACTGCTTTGCCTAATATCACTACAAGAAAGTCTAACAATTTGTAACATAGGAAAGAATTTCAGCAGTTTAGTCCAAGAAATTGGTATCACCAGTATGATCCAGAGGGTCTATGTTTGGACCTTAATCTAAACCTAGGTATTAGAGTGAATAGCCTTTTGTGCACTGTTAATAGTGATTATCCACTCAGTCTTTGTAGTCATAGATGAGTGTTGACAGGCATGTGCAGGCCGTAACATGTCAAGCTTTATGCCAGGCTACACCATCCATTTGAAGATTTGTAATTGATTCTGTATTTCTGTAGTTCAGCTTTTACTGTCGGTGTTAGCTATTGAATGCATTTAACATATGCTTCGCTTTCCTCAGTCTTCCTAGTGACTAGAAAGAATGAAGTTTAACTTTCTGTTCCAAAAAGACTTACTGAATGCTTAGCCATATCCTTCCTCCAGACATCTGGTGTGCAAGAGATAGAGTTTATATGCTTAAAGTTTAATACGTTAACTCATTCTGTCTGAAAGCATATTAAACTCAGCAGCAACAGTAAAAAGCTGGGGAGTAAAGCAGAGATTTACTGTGTGCCTTGAGCAGATAATGGCTTGTGTGCTGACTGGCTTGAAATGAAGTGGAATCTGGACAGATTGGCACTTGGTGTGTTGTTTGGCTTTATTTTAATGCTGACCTTAATTCTGGACCAAAGGAAGGAGCTGGCTTTACCAAAGTGCTCCTTTACCAAAATGTTGTGTTGGACTTTCCTTGGAATTGAGGTTTTTCACTCCTTTACTATTCAGAGCTCTTGCTCTACAACCACTTTTTACCAAAGGAATTGGGAATTGTTTTTCATAGTCTTACCATCAGAAAAACTTCTCTTGGATCTTATTCAAACTGTTCTTGTACTCAAATTACAACTTATTCAAGTCTTCACTCTGATAAAAGAAAGTTAAAAGGTTTTCATATTTTTATTTTTGGTTAGAATGCGTGCTGAGAGATGACATAAATGCCACACATCATGTCCTGCCGGAATGTACATGGTGAGAAGTATTGAGTGAGCTTGTGCTTGTAAAATGCTGGACTAATAGATGTGGCTTCTTGGTGTAGTAAATAGGTCTATATCCAGCTTCAAAGTAGAGACCTAGTTGCACTGGCTATGTATACTCTTATGGTGTTATCTGTCAAAATGATTACTTCAATCACCTGTGCACACTTAGTATTTGGAGTTGCAGCTATTTGCATGTATATGGCCATTTTTGTCTAAAAAGCTTAACTGCTTGTACCACCCAGTTTTGAGTGTCAATGAAGCAGGAATAAGCATTCTGTATAGTATAAGCATTCTTTTCATGTCCAGAGTAGTTGTCCAGCTTGTTTCAGAACAGAAGACACACACAGTGAAGAAAGAGCTGGTTTGAGCTTATAGTTGCTTTTCCTTTGGCTGGGCAAGTGGGTTACCCCAAATAGAATCAGAATCTCAAGTCTGAAGGGACCCATAAGGACCACTGAGTCCAACTCCCTGCTCCTCACAGGACTACCTACAACTAAACCGTATGACTAACAGCATTGTCCAGATGCTTCCTGAGCCAGGTGCCATGCCTGGGGATCCTGTTCCAGGGACTGGCCACCCTCCCAGTGAAGAACCTTTTCCTAATGTCCAACCTGATCTTCCCCTGATGCAGCTTCTTTCCATTTCCTCATGTTCTGTTGCTGGTCACCAGAGAGAGATCAGCACCTCCCCCTCTGCTGCCCTTGAGGAAGCTGTAGATTGCGATGAGGTCACCCCTCAGCCTTCTCTTCTCCAAGCTGAACAAACCAAGTGATGTCAGCTGCAACTTGTAAGTCTTGCCCTTGAGGCCTTATACCATCTTCATAATCATCCCCTGGACACACTCCAAAAGTTCAGTGTCCTTGTATTGAGGCACCCAAAACTGCACACAGTACTTGAGGTAGGGCCACACCAGTGCAGTGCAGAGTGGGACAATTACCTCCCTTGACTTGATGCACCCCAGCACACAGCCATTTTGGCTGCTGGGGCACACTGTTGACTCATAGTCAACTTGCCATCAATCCAGGCCCCCAGAT